CTGTGCAGTCGGAGTAAATATTTTGGTACAGTGGAAAGAGTCAGGACCTGGTACTATTTTTATTTTTTAAGATTTTATCCATTTATTTAAGAGAGAGAGAGAGAGAGCGAGAGCATGAGCAGAGGGAAAAGCAGATGGAGAGGGAGAAGCAGGCTCCCTGCAGAGCAGGGAGCCCAAAGTGGGACTTGATCCCAGGACCCTGGGACCATGACCTGAGCCAAAGGCAGACGCTCAACCAGCTGAGCCACCCAGGTGCCCCTAGACCTGGTACTATTTCTGATTGACAAGAATCAGATTCTTTGGATTTCAGTTTCCTTTCCCGTGAAATGAAAGCAGCCTCTAAGCTGCTTTCCATTTCTAAACGGTAATGATTAAGCAATTTAAGCACCTATCCAATTACTTTTAAATGGATATAAACATATATATGTATTATGTGCAGCTGATATTAAGTCTATTTGCTTTTTCTTGGAACTCAAATTTCTTTCTTGATCATATTAACTTTGTTTCTTGTGTAGATACATGGCCGAGAAACAAATTTTTAAGAAGATGGTGACTTTGAGGGTGAAAGCAAATAAATTTTATTTTCCCATCTCAAAGTATCAGCCACATAATAGCCCATACAAGAACTAAGTACCTATGAAACACCTCGGAGAGGCATGGAACCAAAAGTATATGGTAGGTGTGCGTTTATAGAGATCAAGCTGTTTACAGTTCTTACTCTTAAGAAGAAAGCTGGAGCTGTTTTAAGTGTCAAAAATAAGGATTTTAGTACTATTTTAAGGCAATAAAAGCAATATTTAAACAGAAATAGCAATCAACAAGGTATGACACGGGAATCATGTGCTTTGATAAGACTCCATGGTGACCAGAAGTTGGAGGCTGACTCCTCTGGTTTCTACATGGAGGGAGCTCGCTGGAGTGACATTCTGGGCCCCTTCCACTCTTTCCTTGTCCCTGGGAGGAGAAAGGGCTCATCTGACTGGTCAGCATCAAAGTCAGGATGGTGGTTCTGTTATTGCAACAGTTATTTGCGGGAGGAGGGGGCACACGGAAGCCACTTCTAGGCTGGACGGCAAAGCTCTGTTTCTTGACTTGGGTAGTCGTTTCAAGTATATACCTTACAATAAATCATTAGGCCACATGTTTGTTTTTTGGGGTTTTTTGGTAGTTTCCTGGATCTTCACTTTATTTTTGTTAAAGATTTATTTATTTATTTATCTGAGAGAGAGAGAGAGAGAGCACAAGCAGGGGGAGGAGCAGAGAGAGAGGGAGAAGCAGACTCCCTGCGGAGCAGGGAGCCCGATGCAGAGCTTGATCCCAGGACCCTGGGATCGTGACCTGAGCCAAAGGCAGATGCTTGACAGACTGAGCCACCTAGGCGCCCCTGAATCCTCACTTTATAGTAAAAAGATTTTGATTGGTCATTTGGGTAGAGGGAACTAAGGGTCTGTGGCTTAGCCCCTTCCTTTCTTGTTTTCTCTCTTTGGGCTGTACCCGTCTGGAGAAATGGGCTTTCTCTCCTCCTCCATGCCTGGGGTCTCAGGGGACCAGGTCCCCCACAGATGGGGAGGTCAACAGTTCTAACAGCTCGAGGGGCTGTTCAGTTTTGTCAATGACTGAGGAAGAGGCTCTGGTTCTGGAGACTCGTACTAGCGAGGCCATTTGGCTGCAGAAGGAAAACCACATTTGCTAAGAGCCCTAACAGTGATCAGAGTAAGAGAGGAGACCCCTTGATAACACAAACACGTATGTTGACTCTCCCACCCCCCACCCCTTTTCTCGGCAGGTTGGGGTGGGGGGAGCGTAGTATAATGTGCATTTTTGGTCTCGCTTTTTACTATCCAGTGCTGCTGTCGAAGATGAGAAAACATGAAAAGGGAAAGATGTAAGTTGGGTAAGTGTCAGTATGTAGAATGAAAGCCGTCAGCAGCATCCCTGGATATGTCCAGTAGAGACAGGTTCATAAGCAGAGAGGGAACGAAAAGGCGAAAGGGTCCCTGCAATTCGTGACTCTAAATATTCATGAGGTTTTCCCTTCAACCACTCTTTGTGGCTCTCTGTGTCGCAGTCTGAGAAACGCAAATACAACCCTGGGCCACTGTGCAGGCTCTCGTAGTGATTGGGACAGGGATGTCTGGCTGTGGGCCCCTCCTCTGATGGGGTCTCCTTGCTCAAGGGTCAACAACAGGGCTGGGATGTTTCGTGTGGCAGAGACAGACAGACACACAGCTGACATTAACACAGTGCCACCAGGATTGAGGGAGTTAATCCCACCGCCCTGCTTGCACCCTTCCCTGAGCCCATTAATGAACCCTACTTCTTTCCCTTTGCTCCTTGCCGTGTGTTTTAACTGACTTCACAATCGAAGTGCATGGAGCAGCTTAATTTGGCCAATGAGACCGTCTGCACTGGGGTGTCTGGGATAGCTTGGCTGCCGGTGTCCAGTTGGCAATGAAGATGGGATGCATCCCAGCTAGGTGTGCAGGAAGAACCAGGTCACATTGCAGAAATGCTCTGTGAGATTAAAGCAATATTTAAGAGGAAGACCGTCAACCTAGGAGACCGTGAAAAAAGTGATGAGTCTGGCATAAAAAAGGCATTAAAGCAGGAGGTTAGGAAATAAATCCAGGTCAGAACTCAATGGCAGCCTGATCAAATTTATAGAGAAATAAACCCCCAGAAAACCCAAAGCCAAAGGCGATGTCCTCGGGGTTGGTAAGCTGTGAGGAGCGCGGGCATAGATGTGCGGCAGATGTCCGAGCAGCACCTGTCTCTCTGGGAGCTGACCCCAGAGGGTGCTCTGCTCGGGCAACCCAGCTCCCCACTCCACCTGGGGCCACAGGGAGGACCACTATGGTCCACGGCACAGAGTGTGATTCACGAACCCAAAAATACTGCCCATGGCCCTGTCGCCCGTCACAAAATCGAGGAACTTACAAAAGGTCAGACTTAAAGGAGTAAAGAATTGGATCAAGTCTTGGGAAACATGAGTTAAGAGTGGGAGAAAGAAGACTCTGCCCCTGGCCACTCCGTCACTGTAGGTTTGTCTTTCCAAGAATGTCTTACAGATGGAACCACCCCATACTTGATGCCCTGAGCCAGGCCCCCGAGATGGACCCCATGTGCTGAGGGTGTCAGTCCCATGTCTCTCCTCGTTGCCGAGCAGAATCCAGTGCTGCGGCAGTCCCACCATCTGTCCATTCTCTCATGAGCCAGAGGACATTTGGGTTGTGTCCAGTTTTTGATGATTATGGGTAGAGCTTATACAACATTCTGCATGAAAAGGACGTTTCATTTCTCGAGGGTGAGATCCCAGGAGCGGGACTGCAGGGCCATCTAGTAAGTGTCTGTTGAACTCTGGGGGATACTGCTGAGCCCTCCCTGGGTTCCGCTTGCTGCACATCCTTGCCAGCCCTTGGTGCCATTGGGGTTCTTCACTTTAACCATCCTAATAGGTGTGTTGTGGTTCCTTCTTATTCTTTTTTTTCCCCTTTCTTGGGAAACTTTGGGGATTCATTGATCATCAAAACAAACAAAGAAACAAAACCCTGTCACTTATTGCATACCTGGAAGGAAAAGTACGAAAAGTGGGAAAAAAGTGGGAAAAAAAAGTACGGAAGAGGGGAAGAAATCTGAACAGCTGAACAGGAATAAGAGTCACCGGACGTCATCAGAGGAGGGGGTTTAGAACCAGATGTTATGGGGGAAACATGGAAACAATGGCTCTCTCTCTCTGACAGGAAGACCACACAGAGCGAATGTGTATTCTCACCTCCAGCCACCCCTCCGTGAGGTCGTGGGAACACCCAGGAGCCTAGAGCGAGGACCCAACGACAGCAGATCATCCCGTGAGCGAGCTATGCAAGCCCTTCACTCTCTCCCACCGTCCATCCCTTTATCTAGAAGTTGCTGTTTCTGATAACCATGATTTCTTATCTCTGTTTCATGCTGGCAAGTAGGCTTTGGGGCTAAAAATCTGTCCCAGTCTGAATCTGCATAGACACCAATTTCACATACTCTCTCTCTCACACTCACACACTCTCACACACACACACGCGTGCACGAGTCCTCGGACAATATGTTGGGCATAACAACAAACTGAGACACTAATTAGAGAACAGTGAGAAACATTGACAAGCCCTAGTGCATGGGCCACACGTACCCCTGGCCAGACTTGGGGGGACCCTGGCTCTCGACTCCTATACAACGAAGAGGTACAGCGCAGCACAGCCTGAACCAGAACGTGTGACTCACCATTCCTGTGTGAGGCTACCACCTCCCAGCCAGGGGGCTCGCTGGCATTGACAAACCTGAGGGGAAGCCCCTGGGCCTCGGGCCCTCCCTGGCCTGGTGCTGTGCTGATACCTGAGTTGCCTGGAAGGCCTCCATCCTTCAGCCACTGCTGCAAGACCACAGTCGACCCAAGGTTGGGGAGATGACCAAGCGGGCTCAGTTACAAGCTACCGTTGAAGGCATCATTGCAACAATGCATAACCGTACTTTGCACTGAGTCCTAAACAATACCAAGTGGTCTAATACTTGGTGTGCAAATTGACAGACTCTACACTGAGATGTTGTTGGGGAGGGTAGAGCGGTACAGCTAAAAGTCACAACATTTCCAAGGGATGGGTGGGATGTGGCCCGACGCACACCTTAAAGGAAACGTCTGGAGCCATAACACAGGAGGCAATGGGCGAAGTAGCTCAGAAGGAAAGAAATACACCAGTTGGACAAGACACACTATCTCACAGAGGATAGCAAATTGTGCTCCTGAAACCTTAGAACACCAAGGAAAAAATTCTTTGAAAATGAGGGCTGAACAAAGACGCATTCCCTGACCAAGAAAGCCATTTTAACAGCCATCCAAGGGAGCAAGCCTTCCATCCATCAAGGGAGAAACGGAATCGTGAGATAAAGCGAGCCGGAGATGGTGGACGGGTTACAGGCAGCTATCACACAGAGCAAAGGAACACCATCTCATAGCATGGGTACAAACTCACAGTTCGCAGTGGGCGTCCCTCCTGCCGCTGCCCACACACCTCTCCCCAGTGACGGCACCAACCGGGCCTGTGCGCGTGGGGAAGGCTTCCACTTCTCCATGCCTCCAAGTGGGAAGTACTCGAAGTTTCTTTGACTCCTTTGGCCTAGAGAGAGTTAAGAAGCACCAATTAAAAATAGGTGGGAATGTAAACCAGTGCAAACACTGTAGAAAACAGTATGGAGCTTCCTTAAAAAAATTAAAAATAGAATTACCATATGATCCAGTAATTCTACTACTACTCAAAGAAAATGAAACCATTGATTCAAAAGATACATGCATCCTTATGCTTGTTGCAACATTATTTACAACAGCCAAGATTCGGAAGCAACCAAATGTCCATCAATAGATGGATGGATAAAGAAGAGGGGGCATGCATGTCCACACACACACGCACCAGAGTATTACTCAGCCATAGAAAACAATGAGATCTTGACATTTGTGACATTTGTGACAACATGACCTAGAAAGTATTACGCTAAGTGAAATAAGTCAGACAGAGAAAGACAAATACCATATGATTTCACTTATATGTGGAATCGAAAAATCAAAATAAACAAACAAAGCAAAAAGAGACCCATAAATACAGAGAACAAAGTGGTGGTTGCCAGAGGGGTAGGAGGTAGGGGTATAGGCAAAATAAAGGAGATTAAGAAAAAACTTCCGGTTATAAAAAAGTCATGGGGATGAAAAGTACAGTATAGGGAATATAGTCGATACTACTGTAATGACCTTGTATGGTGACAGATGGGGACTGTACTCACCTTGGTGAGCCCTGAGTAATGGATAGAATTGTCCAATCTCTATGTTGTACACCTGGAGCTAATATAACATTGTATGTCAACTATACTTCAGTTGTAAATAAAAATTTTAAAAAGCTTAAAAAATAAATTAAAAAATAGGCCAGAGCTCAAAAACAAAAAACAGGGTGCACAACAAAATAAACTTTTAAGGTTTTAAGGATGCTGGTGTTTCAAGATAAGCCCCTCTCTCACAGAAGTGGCCAAGAGGAAATCTGTAACAATAACTAAGCCTCTGCATAGCTGGATTGACCAAAAGGCAGAAAAAATACTTTAAAAAGTGAATACAGGGATGCCTGGGTGGCTCAGTTTAGTGTCTGCCTCCAGCTCAGGTCTTGATCCCAGGGTCCTGGGATCGAGTCCCGCATGGGGCTCCCTGCTCAGAGGAGAGTCTGCTTCTCCCTCTGCCTGCCGCTCCCCCTGCTTATTCTCTTTCTCTCTGACAAATAAATTAATAAAATCTTTAAAAAAAAAGTCAATACTATTAGGTGTAAGTTAAACTCAAAAATTTTGTTGGTAAGTGCAGAGGTATATAAATTGTATTAAAAATGGCAGGAGTAATATAGCTGTCTTACACGAATCCTTGGACAAATTGTATTAGTTTGGCAATTCTGAGTTAAAAAGTAGCTGTGTATCTTCTCTCTAACCTCATTACTTTAAACCTTCTGAATTTCCTCTGTTGGTTTTATGGGTCAGATAAATTATTCTTTGCACAAAATATTTTAGGGCATGAAAATATAAACATGTGTATTTAACTAAAGAATAACTGCCATTTTATAAAAGAATTGGTTTTTGTAAACTCCAAAAAATAGTGCAAATCATTTTAACTTGGTTATTTCACTTCTGCTATCTGCACGTGATTTTTAAACATCATCCCTTTGTTTTTAAAATTGATGATTATATTACACATCAGATGTAATTTTTGAGATCTTTTGATTTTAACACCTGGGACTAATATTAAATTCAGTTCATGAATAACACTGTCACCTGAAATCTTTGGGGATTAAAGTGCATAAATACAGATTATAAAAATGATCCATCACTCTATTAATACATACTTGCTTTCTGTGAAGTTCCATTTAAGACAACAAATGTATGTGGCATATATATTGACTGTTATGCTACATTGATACAGTTAACTTGTTTTGAAAGGCTGAAATTAAGACTTTAAGTTTTTATCCAACTACATACATGCATGTGTGTGTATTTAAATAAATAAATATGCATGTAAAATGTGTTTAACTGAAAAAGCTTATGAATGATAAAGAGGAGAACGAATCATTCAGAAAAATATTATTTTGATCTTTGAATATACAGTGTTCTCTAAAAAACCCCAGGAAACAACAAAAAATTCTTTGTCTCTGTGGAGGACAGAACTATATAGTTAGCTCTTATCTCCTGAAGAGTAGAACTTCAGGAGACTATTCACTGTTTGTAGCTTTGCACTGATGTTTTGAATCATTTTCATTAATTAATTAATTTATTTATTTTTAAAGATTTTATTTATTTGAGAGAGAGAGAGAGAGAACATGAGGGTGGGGAGGGACAGAGGGAGAAGCAGACTCCCTGTTGAGCAGGGAACCTGATGCGGGACTCGATCCCAGGACCCTGAGATCACAACCTGAGCCGAAGGCAGACACTTAACTGACTGAGCCACCCAGGCGCCCCTCTTGAATCATTTATACAAAAGTTCCTAATTTCTAAAAAGCTATGTTTACTTACCAGTATGTTTAATTTAAACCTTGCTTTTCTGACTTTAATAATTTCTTTTCTTTAGAAAACTAGGACATATGTTCATATTTTGATGTGCTTAAATGTTTGACAACTCTCTCTTTTTTTTTTTTTTAAGATTTTTTATTTATTTATCTGAGAGAGAGAATGGGAGACAGCATGAGAGGGCGAGGATCAGAGGGAGAAGCAGACTCCCTGCCGAGCAGGGAGCCCGATGCGGGACTCGATCCCGGGACTCCAGGATCATGACCTGAGCCGAAGGCAGTTGCTTGACCAACTGAGCCACCCAGGCGCCCCGACAACTCTCTTTTGATATTTCCCTTCCCTGATCTAGGTCCACAATGAAAACAAAACTGGCAGATCAAAAAAGAGAAAGTGATTAATTATGCAGTGTTAAAATGTCATCAATATGAGCGTTTCAATAACTGTTTGCTTTTCAGGTTGAGCAGAACATGCATGGGTTTGTGCATAATGATGGAGGCAAAACTATTCAAGAGTTGATGTTTATTCTTAGATATGAAACCCTTGTAATTTGCTGGCAACTATAATACATACTTAACAAAAGAAACCAAAGGCTCTGGGCACTTGTCAATATCCTTGCTGATCATAAGTTCCTCCCAAATAGGGGATTCCACTCTCCAACCTTCTAATTAAATACCATGGACAACTCAGAGCTATTCAGTCTTATCACTTACAGATGGTTTCATAAACTACACATCAGAAATTGGGTTTTCTAGAAGTGGGAAGAAAAAGAACCTCAATAAAAAATGGCACCAGATACCAAACAGACTTCCCAAGGGGCAAAATTAGGATTTCCAGTACTCTATTTAGGAAGAGATGATTCCATAGACATGTGTATTATTATTATTATTATTATTATTATTATTATTATTATTATTATTTGTTAAGCTTCCTAGGTAATTCTATTGTTCAGTTAGGGACTGAGAACCACTGGCATAAGGTGTGAATTGCCCATCAATTTTGCAATGTCACCCAATATTTGAGAGTGGAAAACCATTCTTAATACTGGTGATGTATATAAGTGGTGTTGTAAGCTGTTGGAGCTCCCAAATGTGGGGCCCATCTGCACCTGGGCACAAGAGCCCTGTGTTCTGTTTGCACACATAATGTCAAGATAATTCGTTGTTGCATTTTCTAGCAACAGAGTTCTAGCAGAACTTTCTGGGCAACTCAATTTTATTATGAAAGCTCACATTATTAAATCAACACTACCTTGCTTGCCGAAGAATATACTGACCATAGAATTTAACTTCATCAGACATAAGTACAACAATCTGTGATACTTAAAACACAAACTTACAATGATCTTTTAACTAAAAAATAGCTTAAAATGTGTAGATATTTTAACATCTAAAAATATCTTTAAATATTGTCATTTAATTCATGGACCCCATTGAAGAATGAAGTGTTTAAAACATGTTATAATTAAAGAAATAACAATTTAATTATTTACTCTGTGAGAATTAGTACAACAATACCAGATTGACACTGCCTACTTTACAATTCTAGTTTAAAAGCCACATGTTGGGTCTAGAGATACATCTAAAATTTAGAAGTAATTTTGGGGGTTTCTAGTCCTAGTTCTGACTTCATGGAAAGCCACAGACCTTATTTTCATTTGTTCAACAAGAAGAACAAATATTTTTTTTTTCTTTTTTTTAAGATTTATTTATTTGAGAGATAGACAGAGAGAGCACCAGTTTGCGGGGGCGGGGTGGGGGGATAGGCAGAGGGAGAAGCAGACTTCTTGCTGAGTGGGGAGCCAGACGTGGGGCTCGATTCTAGGACCCTGAGATCATGACTTGAGCTGAAGTCAGATGCTTAACTGACTGAGCCACCCAGGTGCCCCAAGAACAATATTTTCAAGCATCTAATTTGTCTCAGGCATTATAGAGGTCCCTGGGATGTTATGGTGAGTATGATGTACAAGGGGCTGTTCTCCAGGATCTTACAATCTAGCAGGAATTAGGTGTGGATCCTGAGAATATACATAAGAGCCACAGACATTCTTCAACAGAATTTAGAAATCAGTCCTGGCCCATGGACTTGAAAAAGAAGAGTGTTCAATCCCAAACAGCAAAACTTGACATGTGGCTCTGGATTACATTTTCCCTAATTAACCTATGTACCAGCAGCGTTACAGGGATGTGCCTGTGAAAAATAGAAGTTCTTACTCTCACATTTAATGGGAAATAAAGTTGGCTTTCTCTTTGGGGCTGAACATGACTTTTGGCTCTAAAGGTCAGAAGATTCCAGGGCATTTGCTCAGTTATGATAGACTGTCTCAAAGCTGACATCAATCACAAGAGCTTCCAGACTGCGCTGTCCCTCCCTTGAGCTCTGCATCCCAACACCTCTCATACTTGAAGGAGACATCTGTTGTTTAAAAATTAATGTTTCATAAGTATGTCATTCTTGGGCTTTCTCCTTTTCTTTCAATGTGATTACTATCTCCAGCAAAACTTTCACATTGTCTCTCTTTCCTCCTGAACCACTACCTGTTTTTAGAAAAAAGGCAGAGGCTCCACCGGGGCACGTACTCTGTGTCAACCTC